TTTTTTAGTCGTTGCACGCAGCTACTGCTCACACTGTACGACTAAACCCTGCAGTTTAGTCGTACAGTGTGAGCAGTAGCTGCGTGCAACGACTAAAAAAAATCTCACAGTGTACGCCCGGCTTAAGATGCCTATACCAAACATACCAGGCAAGACAGGAATTGACAGAAGCTCACAAGACAAATCAAAATAATCTAAAATCAATAATTTTTGGTAGAATTCTTAATAACCATTGAACATAGGTACTTCAAAAAGCTGCAGTCAGTGTTATAATGTTTAGCTTCTCCAGATCACTCAGGAGAATTAAACCAGCTGGATACCAAAGTGAATTAAATCCCGGCACAGCAGGGCTTCTATAGAAATTTAAATGTTTGTCTCTGCAAAATTTAGACATGTCGGTTGTCCGTAAAAGAAATAAAAAAAAGGGAATCTGCAGTATGCAGTATCCCTCAGCTCCTGCATAAGTATTTTACAGAAAAAAAAAAACATTCATTTTAATGAGTCTAGCAACAAGGGTAAAAATCACAACAAATTGGGTCTTTAAACTAAAGATTAAAGCACCACAAACTCCCATATATCTGATTACTTCTTTATTTTCTTTAGAATACGCCCACCCACATAACCCCCCCAAAAAGATAAATAACTGAACCAGTAATTCCCACAGCTGTTCTTCAAATTGGGTTTTAATTCAGGCAGATAAAGCGAGCTGTGGTATTAAGGCTGCCAATCCGCCATTGTAGGGCTCAGCAGGAGGTCGGTTGTGTGTGTGTGTGTGTGTGTGTCCAGGGGAGTGGGAGGGCTTAGCTGACGGCAAGGCTCCACCTGGAGGGGGAATGACAGACAAGCTGGGAGGTAATGACGCCTGCTTATGTCTCTCTTTCTCCCATTTATCCTTTATGTCTGTCCATTCTGTTATTCATTGATTAAAGGAGAACTTCTCTGTTTAGAGTGACACTCTGTTGCACCACACTGCAACATGATGTGGACCGTCTAGTTTTGTAAGCTCACTGAAAAAAAAAAAAAAAAGCTTTCCCCTTGCAAAATGAGCCTGCCTATACTTGTGTGTCTTTGCGTTTGTTCTTGTTGGAAATGGCTGAACAGTGTGGGATTATAGCTGGATACAAAGGACTCCATCTTAATCCAAGGGATTCTACACCATTTTTTCTCTCTCTGCTTTTCATCATAACCTGCAGAACTTAACAACAGTCTCTAGAACCCAAAATCTCTGTCGGAGGTTTGCTCAATTTTGCAAGCAGTAAAAAATAAACAAGCTTTGAAAGATTAGATAAGAGTTAGAATTATTGAGCAACAGCAGGGCAGATAAACGTTGGGGGGAGGGCGGCAGGTCCAAAAAGTGTCACCACAGAATAAAGCTGACTCAGGGTTAAATAGCTGAAAAAGTCTTTTTTTTTTTTGTCGCCTTGAGCCGCTGCCTGTCAATTGCTCAACATCACTGGGCACATAAAAGCACCAGTGACAGCTACAAATAAGCAAATTAGGCCCCAATCTTCCTGGCAGGCGAAGACAAGAGCTCCCCTACTTATCGGCTCTCTACTTCATTCAAGCATCTCCCGTTTCTAAACAATGGCTCCCTTCCTCTTGCCTTCCTTGCTCTTTTGTTCTGTTCTAGGATGTGATTACATGGAGGAAAACTGCCAATTCAAGCTCTTGCTCTTGCAGGCTTGGGTGTTTAGAATGTGATAAATGGATAATGCAGATGAGAGCAGATAGTAAGATGATAAAGAAACAGCCTTCTACGTACAAACAGAAGCGTGTGGCATTTCTTACTACACAGGAAACAACCTGTTTATATTGTTCGGCTACAGTAAAACTGATGAAACAGTGATTAATGACGACTTGCAGGAAAAATGACACTTGTGCAAAGACTGGGTTGTGGATAGTGCAAAGCGTTGGTCACCATTTCCAAACAAGAGCTAGATTTGTGATATACTGTTCTATGGACTTTAGATGTAAGAAAGCAAGCTTAAGTGCTAAATATTTAAACAAATTACACTACAATAGATTTTAGCCTTCTTTACTCTGATACCCCTAAATAAAACACACAGTGCTTAATTTGATCTCTGTATAAAAGGACTACTTGTTATACAATATTAGAATGAGCAGTATAATGAAGTTTGGAAACACAGGTGGGTCAGGTTTAAAGAGGTTCATAGGAAGGTCAGCTAATAAGCATCTATTAAACATCTCACAGAGCACCGTTCCTTTCATCATCTAACAATGAAGAGAGTATGGCATAACTGCAAACCAACCAAGAAATGGTAAACCAACTAGTCCCACTGGCTCAACAAAGCTTGGTCTCAGAGAATTAGAACCCATTCATAGTGTTAAGAGGAGAATGAGGCAAGTGGCCGGTGGTAACACTGGAGGAGCTGTAATTTTCTAAAGCTCAACTGGGGGAACTTGCTAACGAACTCAATGAATCTGGCCTTTATTAAAAAGCACATAATTGAAAGCCACAAATGAAAATAGTTGGAAAAGTTCAATGTAGGGGTTTTCAAAAGCCATATAGGGTAAAAACTGGGGTTGGATTAGATCAAGGTGCTCTGGTCTGATTACTAGGTTGGACCCATTTAACATGGATGCGCTTGATGTCGCATCTGCTGAACAGCGTTAACCTGACTCCGCCAGATGGATTTGCTCCGCATATCCATCTGGAACCCTTCCGTTGAAGTAATTTTGGGAAGGGGCGAAAATACTGGTTAGCTGATTGGCCTATGTTGGT